CCCCCCCCCCCCCCCCCCCACAAATCAGGTCCCCTACTTAGTCCTTAGCTTTGTCAAACTTCAACTTTATAAGGTCATTCGTTGGTGTCCGTCAACCCGGCTTCTGACACAGCCTCTTGCAAGGTCTCTCTTCGGGACCGGCCATCTCATGTACCAGGTGGAACGGGAGATACGGCCTAGAAAAAGGATGTAGTGGAAATCTGTTTCGGGCGACTTCTGCATTCGCAGTAGCTGGGGCGCTGTGCATCAGCCCCCCGTAGATCAGAGGTTGAACCGGAGAGCCTCCCCATGAAGTCGAAGTCTCCACTGCTCACATCATGCACGAACGAATGTGATCTGGGAGCATTCCCGACAGCTGAATCTCCAGGCTGCCGACAGCCCAGTTCACCACATCTGGGGCATTGCAATCTTCGGAGTTGGCCTACTCTTTTGCTTCGGGTCCTCCACCTTGCAGCTCGGATTGGAACAAGGCTTTGTTTGCACTTGTTGCTTGCGAAGGGCCGGTTTTGACGTACCCTTGATCTGTGAGCTGCTCGTGCCAATGTGAAACTTGCTGCAGGTACCATTCCCTTTTCATGTACCCGGTTACTGCGCGGGTCCTGCAGGTGCTGGACCATGCTGCAACCCAGACCAATATTACGGATCTCCAAATACATGCAACATCTGCTCGACAAGACTGCTGCGGTCGCACAACAGGCAATTTATTTTCTCATCGCTGCAACGTACACGCCATTTCTGCTCTTCTACTCGGAGACTTGGCCAGGAGTTTTGACATACCGGCTGTGCGTCTGAAACCGTCGTGGCTGTATTCTCGCTTGTGCAGCAGCCCAGCTACATGCCAAGGACACGCCGATGCATGGTGACCTGCTCAAAGCAGCGACTTGGCCCAGATGGCTTTGCCTGAACCTCTGACGGTCGAAGTATATACTCTACACCATGTGCTATGTACTATATGCTAGAGATATACGTCTATATACTGTATATGTTATATACGATACCATATACTGTGTGCACCCACAGTGAATGATATGTGAGATTAGATCGAAGCCGGTGAATCGGCTCGTCAAGAGATTGATATAGTTTGCTTAATGAGCGGCTCGGTAGCGCCGCTACTTGATCGGTAGAGCAGCGCCATCGTGTAATTCGCGGGTGTTAAGGGAGCTTAGCGGCCGACATACTTCATGCGTTAAGTAAGGAGTGGATCCTATGCTGGCTGGGCATCGTGACGCACATTTGCTCTCAGTATTTTGACTGGGGTACATCTGCGCCTTGACTGCAACCAAATCCAGGCAAGAAGGATGGCTCTTCATGGCTCTTGCAGCAAGCTAGGGGATGCTCGATCTTGCAGCGACCCAACATGGGTGCAAAAGAAGCCCTAATGGAAAGGTTCCCTACCTCACCGGCGAGCTGCTACTGTACCTGGCCATGGGCTGGGCGGCCGTTTTGGCCTGGGACGCTCTGGGTTATTACGGCCAGTCAATATACGGGACATTTACCACCCTTAACAGGGATTTTGTGGACTTACCATAAATGAGGCAACAATTGCAGGTCTTCGTTCCAGAGCACGGATGGCGTTGAACGTGTCATGTGGTTCGATGTTTCGCAAGTTCCGCCATGGCAGCGCGAGCGCTGTCCTTTCTGGCTGAAGTTTGCTGGCCGGCGCCTGCCTGCAGAGCAGGGTAGAACACAGCATCCCCACTTCAGCACCCCGGCTTTTGCACCTGCACCCAGGATACTTTCATGGCCCAGCTTCCTCAAGCTTGCTGGTCTTGGCTGATGGCCGGTGGGCCGCTAGGTCAGGCTCAGGAGGTGCTGAGGTAGGCAGCTGGTGTATCTTCAGTGTGTGGCGATGCTTAATATGATCATGTGAGTTACACCTGCAGTTTTCCAGGGCCTCCCAGCATGATGGCCATGTTCTCGAATGATGCTATTCGAGTAGCAGTGCAAGGGCCAGTTGCAGATAGAGGCAGGAACCCAAATGGGTGTGTGTGTGTGTGCCTCCGTCTGTTGAAGTTTGACCTAAGTTCTATGGTTCGGAGATCTTTATCTTAGTTTGTGCTTTGAGAGCTCATGCCTGGCGCGGTGTGACAGGAACTTTGTGTTATATGTTATGAACGTTTCGCTTGCTGTTGATGTTTAAAGAGAACACACATATACATATGCACATTACATATACATGTGTACACACAGCTTTATGAACCACAGAGTGTGCACATGTCTACACCTGCATATATGAGGGAGAGGTAATCACACATTGATTCTGTGTGGGTGTGTTGAGATGCACATACCATGTGGTACACGATATGGTATGTGCACACAGGAAGGAAGCCTGGCTCCTGCTGGAGTGGGGGGGGGGGGTTCTCGCGAAGCCGAGGCTGCTCTACACAGCGGGAGTGCCTTTCTTCGTGCTCGCAGACAATCGGCGCGGGCCTTCAGCTGAATGAAGGGGCTCGAGTGCTTCGTAGTAGCGGGCCCTTCAAGCCGATTTTTACTGGTTATGTCACCCAAAACCATGTTCTTGGTATGGTTGTCTCACAACTAGAATGTCAGGGCAAGAGCTTCGAAGTCTGCCTTTGAATATGCAGTAGGATTCAGAGCTTTTTTCGGGGACGGCTTGTGGACTTCGGGGTTCTCTAGTTGCTATTAAAGTGGCCGTCTTGCTGCTCGGAGTTTTCGGCGGGCGATGTCACAGTTCTGAACTATCACCAAAACCCTGCCAGAAACCCTACAGTCAGTGATGGTTGAGAGGCTAAGTGCGCTTCAGCTATGAAAACTTTTCGGTGCAAATTCCTAGGCATGCCTGTAGTAGACTCGCAGCACCGTCAATGACCCCCTGGCATCACTGAAACCATCCCTAGACAGCGAGCCCTAAACGAAATGGCATGCGTCTCACGCTCAACCGACGAAGCACTGCGAACCTGGCTTGTCGCTTGGCAGCCCCGAAACGAAACGAAGCAAATCAAGAGCAGCCTCACCAACCCCCCAAGCGGAAGCTCTCAATCCTGAATCCTAACAAGTCTCATAAACCCTAGACTCGTAGATCGTGGGAGGCCCATCTACCACGTGATCTGGCATCTCTTTGTCGCTTTTGCTGCCATTTGCCACTGGTTCGTCCTGCCCTTGGCTCGTGCTGCATGGGGTTATATTCGGCTTTGGGATTAAAATAGGATTACCAATACTATTTTGGGGGTTCCGTATTATAAGTCTAGTATAACGCGCCCCAAAACCCTAGTCTAATGATCAAGGCCCCTTTCGTACTGAGAAGGGGTTGAGGCTTGCGGAGGGCTTTACACCAAGAGAAGCCACAAGCGAAGATTCGGAGCTCTCCAAAGAAGCATAGATGCCGAGGCGTTCGGAAGCCGGTGGCAAAAAAAGCCGAAGACGTAGCAAGATATGGCAAAAAACAATGAAACGTAACAAGGCAGTTCTTAGAGCCGTCCAGCAACGTTCAGCTGCTCCAGTAGATGATGCTGCGCCTCATGGTGCTGCATTGCCCGGAGAGAGTATACAGGTCACCAACCTTGAATTGAAAATGAGCACCGCTCGTTGTAGAGCCGGTTAAGTCGTGGTTCATGGTACCGATGTGCAAAGCACGTCTTCTCCGGCCATGCATGCAACCAGCTGCTCGCTTAGAATCCAGCTGCCCACTTCGTCTTGTACTGCTTGGATTCCTATACCTTTACATTGTCCTTGGTGTGCCTTGGAGCTTTGCTATGCCATTTAAAGCGGGTCAGGAGACGGAGGCCTTCAAAGCCTTGATGTCTGCTGCCAGGGGGTTGGAGCTTGCCTTTGAAGGCGTAGCTTTGAACGGCTCCGCTGTCAGTGAGTTTGACTACGGTGAGGCTGATTTTGAGGAGGGGCTGGGCCACATCTCCTCGGCTTGGGCAACTGCAATGGCAGGGGGAGAGCTCCGAGAGTTGTGCATCAGGGTAGAGCATGACTGGGTCAAGGCTGCCTGTGGCGCTCTTATTCTGACCTTCCTGATCGACTTTCAAAGAGATTCCCCCATTGAGCTCGAGTTCCGGTTCTTTGGTGGGAGCTGGGAGGACAAGAGCTTTCCAGGCGAGTGCAGTTTCTGGGAGCTTGCGGAAGAGCAGCTGAGCCTTGGGCCCGCTGGCTGGAGCCAAGCTGCAAGCCGGTTTCCCTTCGAGGAGCCTTTGGAGCAGGAGGAGGAGGAGGAGGAGGACGAAGCATTCCCTCCCTACCCAGACATTTACCCTGCAGTTGTGGCTAGGTTTTTCGCCGAGCATCTGGGTGTGACAAGGCTGACGGGTATGCGATATGCTGGAAGATGCGATCAAGTCCCTGGAGGGAGTCTTTGTGAGCGTGGTGATTTCAGGTTTACAAGTGCTTAGCGGCGGACGATTCATGTTGAGGTTCCGGGGAAGTTCCGTTGTGCGAATCCTGCTTGAGGATCCACTGCGGTGCGCTGAGACTGGTTTTGTTTCACGACCGAAGGCAAAACAAATTCAACAATACCACATCGGGACAGAGCCTTGTTCACCAGGTCTGCCTTCTAGCAAGCGAGGCCCTTAGGCCTTGCCGACAACCCTACGTCTATCCTGTATCTGCGAGCTCCGATCGACACCCAGATCCTGATGCCCAACCCGAAGCCTTTGGCCATGACCCTGAGCACATCTTACTGTGTCCGCAAATACCGACCTGAACGCTGAAGTCGCTTCTCCCTTGGCTTGCACTGTCGAGACTGATCATGTCAAACTCCCTACTGCCCACCATACAGCCCCGACGCATCTACGACGTTACCTTATGTAACTCACACGTCCGAGGCGTGAGCACCAAGATTCATGCAAGTTTTTGCGCCCGCCATGATCACTTACGACTTACATTGCCAGTGTTAATTCTGGGCTCTGGAAAAGGGGGCTGGGGGTACCTGTGGAATAAAGCACATGTGGAAAACAACAAGAATATAGAATACAGCTCTACAAAAAATTCGAGCATGAACAATGTGCGTAAGTATATACAAGCATATATATGTATGTAATCTACACGCACATACAATAGATGTGTATATTAATGTGTATGTGTGTATATGTACGTATGTAAATGTATGTGTATGTGTGTTTTTTATGTATATGTGTGTGTAATTTCACATATATATATACACACACATAGGTTTTGTTTTCATATGTGTGAGTGTGGGTCTGTTGGTCTGTTTCGGTGTCCATGTGTTTGCCTAGCTCCCTGTCCTCTCTCTTTCGGACTGTATGTTTGTATGCATGTGTCCAGCCGCCCAAGCACAATGCTGCACCCCCAAACACAGCACAACGCCCCAACGGCCCTCAACATCAGGACCCTAAACCCTCTAAACCCCTAAAGCCCCCTCCAAAAACTTTAAAAACCCGAGCAAAAAAGTGCACCAAGGCCGTGAAGGAAGCGGCCCTGGATGCGCGTCAGAACCACTCGGAGGGACCTTTCGGGCCAGTGGAGTGGTGGATCGACGCTGGGCCTTGGGACATGTAGGGGCTAGGGTCGAAGTTTCGGATTCGGGCCGAAGAGGGAAGGGGTGTAGGGCTTAGGGCTTAGAGCCTAAAAGGGTTTAGGCTCTGGGCCTGTCTGTAAGATGGAGGTCAGCAAGCACTGGGACGCTCGTGAATGGGTTTACGAAGGTCTCTGTCATGCATCATGCACTGTAGCACGGCAGGGGGGTCACAGGCCGTCGAATTCGCAGACTTTATGTGCGTTTGGCCTTGCAGCGGCTTTCTGGGGACTACTGGTGCCGGTGCTCACAGCTGTGGGGAATTCGGATCCGAAGCCAGATTGAGGGTTCCTAAACCCGGGACCCCGAGCCCTCTGTCTTGAAGTGGAATGGATACATGGACCTGGCCAGGCAGGAAACCCTAAACCCTAAACCAAAATCCCAAGCACCCAAACCCCAAACCGAAATCCCAAACCGGTTTCAATCGTAATTTTCCCATTTGATTTTGTCGTTATGATGTGTTATTCGGATTGTCAAGCAGCCGTTGTCTGTCAAAGCCATGTAGTTCCAGTACCAACTCGTGTGATGTTTCAC